GAGTAAAGATAAATCTTGGCCTTCCTTGTCTTGGATCTTGGCCTTGGCATTGTCAAAGATAAATCTCGCGGGATCCCTGATTTTTAAGTAAAACGTTCTAGATTTAAGAGAGAGGTTACTACCACTTTAATACTATAAATAGAAGACGAAGATATAAAAAATTATAATCAACACTTAATTAAAGACTCACATTTTATACTTTTAGCTTTTAGTTTTATCAGTTAGTTTTTATCTTCAATCTAGACTTGTAACTTTTTCACATTTCAATAAAAATCAAAACAATTGTTTTATCAAAATTTTATGTATCTTTTACATCCAAGTGAATTGTGGTAAGGGAGTTCGGAACTCTTCTATTATCAATTGAGATTCAATGTCTCCGACACACCTAATATTTATTGTTCACACACAAACAAAAAGAAACTCATTTTTTGTTTATTTTTTTATATAAGCAAAATCACCTATTTTAATAAGTATTTATTACATATTTTTTTAAATCACCTCTCATAATTTACATTGACAAAAATAATTAATGCATGCTTATGTTAATTAACATGAGGCATTTTAGTTTAATTTTTTTATTTTCAAACATAATTATTATGTTTAATTAATTTTTTTAAACTATATAATACAGTTTTTTATATATATAAAAACAGAGGGAGTATATATTTACTCATCATTAATTAATAGGATTATAAAGAAAATGACAAAATGAATAGAATGAAATCACTCATATTTTTAAATTTAGCACTGAGGACACGATCACTATCCAATGAAGGGCATCAACGGTTCTGATTCTAGTCGAGTGGAATACCAATTACCAACCTCGTTCCTTTGCATTCATCGCTGTGGCTGTGGAGGGCAAAAGAGTTGGACCATCTATGATAAGGGATAACATTACATAGATTCTCTTATTTGTTTTCACCAAAATATTATCATTATAATTATTTTGAAATGACCAAAAAATAGTGGAGGCACGTAAAGGCGGTTGCTAAAAAGACAAAAAGGAAAAATAAAAAACACGAAAAGTGGGTCCAGCTCACCAGGTCCCTCAAAACCAAATCATCAACTCTTGCTCGGCCCAATTCCTGTCTTACATGTTCAATCGGCCTTGTATTTTATATTGGATTCCCATGCCTCTACTAACAAATCCATGGTTCCTGTCTTCCCAGTGTATTAAGTTGTCTGGAGTCGGCATTTATGGAGTGCCAGACTTACCTGGACTGTCTCAGTTCGGGGAAACCCAAATAAGTTTAAATTTACAGAAAAGTCAAACTGAACTCTAACTTTTTCAAGCTTCCGCCTCAATTGAGCCGGCCCAAATTGTTGGATTTTTTAAAATTTTTAAAAAATAAATTTCAATTTTTATTTTAAAATTAATTATTTTTATATTATAAAAATGTCAAATATATTTTTGGGATACTTATAAAATGTAGAAGACTTAATTTTTCTTAAAAAAATTGTGGGTCTTAAAATTTTAAAATTAAGATGCATTTCAAATATTTTTTTAGATGCTTTATAGATTAAAAATAATAAAAATGTAAAAATGTGAATACTTTAAATGTTTTTATAAAATATCTATAATATCAAATATATGGTCTCTTATTATAAAATGAATTAAAATTTAAAGAATTAATTAATACTTAATATATTATTTATATTATTTTAATTTTTATTGAGTATTTAGGCTTAGTCGTCGAATTTTGTTAGCTTATTTGGACTGACCCTAATAAGACTGAACATTAAAAAAATTATGATTTTGTTAAATTTTTTTTGAGCCTGAATTACGGAATTCAAAGTTATCAAATTAGATATTTAGTAAAAAATGCTAATCCTTCATAACATGAGGATTAAAGGTTTGTATTCTTATTAAAAGAGGTACAAACATTTAATATCTAAACATGCTTACAATAAAATTGTTTTCAATGTGTGTGTGATTAAAAAAAAAAAAAATTGCTATCAAAGCGCGGCCTATGAGAATGCAAGGCGCCGTCCCTTGTAAGCCGGTCACCGTCTCTGCGTGTTGCAATGGAGTCCGGCGAATCAAGATGGCTCAAGAATTGGATCCCAGTACCTCTTTCATAATCTTCACGTCTAGTATCGATGACTCAAGGGAAGATAAAATCTTTTGAAAAGGGTCACTTTCCTCTCAATTCCATTGATAAGACGGACCTACGAGAATTTTCACCCTTAATTGAGAGATGGCGAGGATTTCGCAAGGAGCACAATGGGATATGTCTTAGTGAGGACGAGTTTGCGAATATGGATCGAAGAGCAAGGAATATGGATCGAAGGGCAAGACTATAAGAAAATAGAGGAGCGTTGGGATAGCGAGGAAATTATATATGTGTGTGTGTATTCGAAGTAAAAGGCAACATGGCAAAGCCATATAAAAATAAAAATTTAAAACATTGTCCATTTACTGCAAAATGGGAAAGATCTGGCTAGAACATATTGTCTAGTGCTGCAGATGATAGAAATTCAAAATTATTTCATCCTTCGTTGCTGACCATAGGTCAGAATTAATGAGAACTATACAATCTTAAGACTTACTGGTTAGAAACTAAAGAAGATAACATTGCGTTAGTTAGAATGGTTACAAAGTAAGAGGTCAAAGTTATAGTTTTCCAACTCTATAAAAGTATCAAACCCATGGCCAGATGGTTTATCTGAACCTAGAGACTTATAAAGAAAAGAGACTATTGGACAATTTAGACCACTAGGTCGTCTGTATGATTTTTTGAAGTAGATAAGTTGTTAATGGATGGATGGAAATTGATGATGATCAGAAGACGTTCCTAGCTAGTGGTCTCAGTGATAAACATCATTGCGCATGAGGCCTTTGATTACCTTGATAAAAAAAGAGTGGGTGATCGATGTGTGGAGAAATGGCTTTAGTGACGAATATGTCAAGTGTGTGTGTGTGCATGTGTACCGTGGGATGAGTAATTAAGGGTAAATTAAACTTCGAAAATTCTCTGGCCTATAGATATTAAGGTGTCCCTTGGAGCTCTTGCTTCTCAATAGCCTGTTAACTCATTTGGAGGTGACAAATCAAGAAAATCTTCCACATATACAAATCTATATCCAATATCTCTATTGATGCACAAAGCTTAACTTTTATTAACACGTTCACGAAGTAACCAAAGTAAGCTCAATAGTATCGTATGGAGGAAACTGGATGGACCCATTCTAAGTGGCCCTTGGAATCCATCTATGAGTAACCGTTTTAAGCTTAATGTTGATGGTGCTTTCTCTTATCTTTTGAATGTTGCTGGCTGTGAGGGCCTGATTTGTGATTCTAATAGAGGCTTTCGAGCAGGTTTTTTGTTTAAAATGAATGACAGTAACCCAATCTATGCTGAACGCTAGGCTTGCATGTGAGGCCTTAAAATGGCTTCGAACCTTGGGTATGGAAAGCTGATCCTTGAATCTAACTCAAGTGAAGCCATTGCTGCAATTAATGGTAACACTCCTCCTAATCGCTCATGTTTGTCGGTGAAATCCGAGCGCTTCTAGCTCGTCAGTGTGGTGGTTCAGACTCGAAGAATTTCAAGATATGCGAATGCAACTGCTGACATGCTTTCTAAACGGGCTCTTTCTTATGTTGTTGGGTTTTCATCCCTTGTTCTCCCCTCCCGGCCCCTTATTTAGATATAATTTTGGCGCAGGACACTAAGGATGCCTCTCCCCCCCCCCTCTCACTGTAAGAACTAATAGTACTGCAAAAATGGTTCCCAGCAAGATAATTTTTATATCAAATTAATAGTACTGGCAAATGTTAAGTAAAAAGTGGAAGACGTGTGTGGAATAGAAGAACTGAAGGATGCTGAGAAATACCTTGGATAAATTGTCTACCGTACAATCCAAAATACAAAGTCTTGCCATAAGATTATCCTGTTTCTCGAGTTCATTTTCTGTATCATATATATGGTGGGCTTCAATTATCTTTCCTCCTCTTTGCAACTCTTGTTCTTTCAGTTAGTATATATACATACACACACAGGCAAGAAAAGATTAGCACCTATTCGGCGTGAAATAAGTGGTGATTATGTTATGCATGCGTATTCAATGAAATTAAATTTCCAGGTTTTTCCATCTGCTCCTATTTGGCCAAACTTTACTTTCATTATCAAGGCCATGGGAACTTATAGGCAAATAAGACAATAGCTTAGGGCCCTGAAAAAACCTAAATATCTTTGGTCGGTGTAGATTAAATAGACACAGTTGTACTGTTGTATAATAAATGCTAAATGAAAAGAGTTAAGTTCAAATTCTTTCTCTCATTGAAAACCTGTTCTTATTTTCAAAATAACATTTAGTAATTGGATTGGCCCCAGCTTGATTACTGATTATTATTTATTTATTTTTACAATTTCCATTCTCATATCTAACTCTTCAACTTTTCGTTTTCACTCTTCCACTTTTCTCCCATTTCTTTTTTCTACTTTAAAGCCTTAAAAAAAAGTATTAGTCATCAAACCCCTTTTTTGCTGCAATCTTTTTTTGATATTTTTGGATCCAACCAAAGCATTGGAGCATACACCATTAAGTAGGGGCTGTTTTTGTCTCAGTACTACTTGCTATCATTTGTGTTTGTTCCTTTTTAATTCAAGCTTTATTCTTTAAAATACAAAACACTAAATGTTTAATTTTTTATTATTATTTAGTTGTAAAAAATGTCAAATAGAACATATGAGGATCGATAAATTATGATATGTTAGGCTTCTTTATTTATTTCGCCTTAGGCCTCAAACTCCCTTGACGCTAGTTGCTCTCATTTTCATCTTATTTAATTTCAACATTTTTTAGGGATTTAAAGAATATTATTCTCAAAAAAGAAAATATTAGATGATGGTGGGTGCCGATCAAAAGGAGATGATTTGTAAGTGAACCATATCCTCTATATCTATCTATATGTGTTGTATGTGGAAATAAGTAAAAAAGAACAAAGATAATACATAGCTGAAGAGTTCAGGAACGAATTCAAAGTTCAATGAATATTAAGATCCACCACCAGTGACGCTTCCGTTGAAGATTTCGATGGTGTCTCCCTGAGCAACTTGGTGCCACCGAAAGGACTTATCGTCGTCCATCACACTCTGCCCGTAAATGAAGAAATAGCCATCCGAAGGAAGAGGAAGCTGATTCCTCTGATGCAACTTCTGAAGCTCCTTCCTCAACTCTCCCACGTTATCACTTGGATTCACATCCACTGGTATCTTCTTCTTCCCACATTTAGTCAGAATCATCACCCTCAACTTCTTCGATCCTCCACCGCCACCTCCTCCACCCCCATTGTTAGCCCCGCTGCTTGTCGCCGGCGCGGCAATAGGCAGTGGTCTCAAACTGACCTCAATCTCAGAATATTCACAAATCTCACAATCTAGCAACATCTGATGGTCGTGCAATTCATTACCCGATAAATGGACGGCTAGCCTGTTATTGGCCGGAACGACCTCGATTTCTTGAATTCTTTCTTTCAGCTTCAAGACAGTGTCGTTTGCGTCCATTTCTAGGGTGTAGACCTTGGACGAAGGGGTCTTCACGTTGATGAGCAATTTCACGGTGGAGGGCGCCGGAGAAAACTCCTCTGTCTTGCCGGGCTGGGTCTTGAAGAAATCGGCGGCGATGTGGAGCTGAACGCGGGAGTTATTGAGGAGAACGCATTTCTCGATGTCGGCGTCGTCTGGGAGAGTTTGGCCCTTGAAGATTAGGGTTTGCATGGAGACGGGAATGCCTTGGTACTTTTCAATCTTCTCTTTGATGGCAAGGACAGTGTCGTAGAACCATACTTCAATCATGAATGGTCTTCCTCGCTGGGGTACGAAGATTAAATCCATGTTTGCAATTTAACTTCGTAACCCAGACATTAATATTATGGATTTTATATCCATCCATGTAACGGCCAACAAAATGAGTATATGATAGTAATGCAGTTCAAAGTTACTCGCTTTTTGTAACAAAGACCCGATTTTTTCTAACGAAGGGAGCCTAAATCGGTGGTGATTTCACTTTTTTGCATTTACTTTTCGCATTTAATGTCATTAAGTTGTACATTGTACTAGTAAATCCAAGTTTATAGGGCCAATTAATTACTCCAATCCTCTCTATATAGAATGTTCCTATATTTATAATTTATTTTCAGCATATTTTAATAAAATTAACAAAAATTTTATCCGTTATTTTAATTTTAAAATTTAAAAAATTTTAATTTTATTCCTATTAAATATATCTACTTTAAAAATAAAATACTCTAATATTTTTTAACCTTTTCAATATTTAAAAGGAGCAAAATGATAAAAATAAATACAATAATTATTAACTGCCTTATAAATAAGATTAAAACAAATATTTTCTTTCTTATGAATAGGATCAAAGTAATATAATAGTGTTGGTTCAAAATGGAAGACTTTACAATGAATTAAATTAATAGCATTAAAATTTTCTTTTATATACTCTTATTATTAATTGTATTGTAGAGAAAAATTATATATATATATATATATATATAACTTCAAAATAATGAAGATGGATTGATTTTTTCATTAAAAAGATAGGTTGATTTTAATTAGAAGATAATATTAATTAAAGAGAGAAATTTTTAGATAAAATAGGTGCACCATATTATTTGTAGTTTATCCAATTAAAATGCTTCAAGTCATCTAAATAAAATCTTTTATGACATTATTTAATTTCTTGTATTTTCTCTCTCTGCTATCATTAATAGCATCTGAATATCATATTTTTATTTTATATACCACAAATAACATAGCACACTCAGCCTACTTAAGAATTTTTATATTAAAAAAGTAATGATAATTTTTATCATTTTAATCATATGAACTACGAAATATTGTTGTACTAAATGTGAGCACCACTTATAATGATATTTCAAATATTGATTCACCACGTTGTAAGGGACTTAAGACTAGCATTTCTAGACCAAACTCATGTTGGTTTGTATCAAACTACTTTTTATGATGTGTTTGGATTAATGAAGATTGGAATTTGGATTGGGAATCCAAATCCATTTCTTATTATAGTTGATTTGTAATTCCAATTTTTTTTTACACCTTAATCATTTAAAATTTGTTCCCTTCATATTTTTACAATTGCTATGACTCTTGTGTCTTTTCTTACTTCTCATTCTCATCTCATATCAATTGAAAAATATATAAAAACTTATCACTTTCATTTTTTATTTTTATTTCAAATTTCAATTCATCTCTTTTCTTTATTTCTTAAACCATCCAAATAAAGAATTTTAAATACATGAACTTATATCAATCCCAACGCTGCCTAATGAGGGTATAATTGAAAATATATAAATTTTTTAAGAAATTAAGATTTTAACTAATATTTTTTGAGAATATTATGAATTAATTTTCAATGCTCTATATCGTGACCTAGAGGGAGTATAGATTTTAAAAGACGATTCAGACTTCAGACTCAGAGTTTATGACAAAAGAAAAAAAGAAGACGATTCGAAGAATTATATATGAAGAGACAAGAGATATTAATGTAATTACTAGTTCTACATATTCTCTGGCGAGCGAGAGAAAAAAATGTTAAATTAAATACTCAAAGTAGGAAAATTATTAAAAATTTGAATTAAATACTAATAATAATTAAGATTATAATAAAATTTAATGATAAATCTTTATTAAAATATATTGACTTAAATACACTACTCTCGTAAAATTGATTGAGAGTAAATTGAGATATTAATGAAGGGCGGAACATTGAGAAAATAATTAATTCTTCTTAAAATTCTAAATCAACAAACATCTTGAAAAATTACAAAAATTCTAAAAGCAACAAGTAGCCATGAAAGAGAAGCAATAGTTTGGAACATGAAAACAAATTTTCAGCGGTTGTGTGAACAGAATATTAAACATATTAATGCCAGTTGACCCCCCCCTTTTTGTGTGGCTATCATGACTTTAGCCAGATAACATTAAGGATGTTTGTTTGAAATTAAAAAATAAGTAATTTTTAATAGATATTTTATAAAAAAATTAATTCATGAATATTTTAAAAAATTTAATGAAAAGTATTTATTATTTATTGATTTTTTAGATTTTATAATATTATCATGAATCTTTATTTATAAAAAATAATTTATTATTTAGTTATTTTAAATTTTTATAATAGTATCTTGGTGTTTTTCTATATTTTTTTCTCATACAAAAAAGGCACTTTAGTGATTATTCCTTAAAATTTGTTTAGACCTATTCAATGTTGATGTTCATATAACTAAGTAGAAAACTTTTTTAAGGATTGTTTAATGTGGACAAAGTAAAACTCATTAATTTATATAGATAAACTAGATTTATACCCTACGCGATGCATGGGAATGTTTTAATTTTAAAAAATAAAAAAATAAAAATGTTAAAAATATATTGCTTTCTCCTCTATTTTAAGAGTCACAAAATACAAGCATGTCTTCTACTTTTAAATTTTCATTTTCATTCATTTAAGTATTAGTTAATAGTTGTTGGACTAAAATACCGTTATTGATATATTGTTTTAATTTTTCATTCATATTTTAAATTTATTTGTTATACAAACTGATTTATATAGTATTTTTTTAAAAAAATTAAATACATATTCTCTCTTTTAAAAAATTTAAGGTAGTTTTAACTGAATTTTATCTCTTAATAAAGTAGTTACATATTTTTAAACTAACACAATATTTTTTATTTATTCCTACTTAATAAAATATTTTATTCTAAAATAATATAAAATAATTTATTTATTAGAGACACTTAAAAAAGAAAACAATAATTATACCTTAAAATATAAAAAAAATTTATATTTTTTAATATTTAATTCTTAAAAAATACTTTACACTTTGAATTAAAAATTATTTATATTTTGTATATAAAAAATTATAAATGACCTAATCTCAACTTGAGATTAATTTTATTCTTGGACCTCAAAAATTCTTTATTTCTTCACCCTGTTGTTTCTGCCGTTCTTTTTCTCTATTAGCGGGGCTTACAGTTGGTTTTTTTAATATTTTTTATTGTAAAATATTTAGTGGGTCCCACCAATGATTTTTTTAATATTTTCTCCTTTTCTCTTACCTCTCCCCCCCCCCCCCCGGGTAAAAATGCGAAATCCCTGCACCTTTAAAAGCTCCTTAACCAGCTGCAGCTTCAGCACTGTCTCCTTCCTCCAAATTTGTAACTTACACTATCAGAGACTTGTGCAGTGTTCAACTTCCAGAAGAACATACACGATGTGGCAAAGGTGACGAAGGCGAACTACGATTCTTGCACTATCTCTTCTTCTTCTTCTTCATTGACTTATCCTCTGTCATCGCTACAACCTCACTTGTCGTAGAGAATGAATTGTCTAAGTAGGAGTCTTGGTTGAGGGTGCTAGGATTGAGAAGGAGTCGCTGGAGTTGTTGTTGATAAGAAGAGAGGGAGGAAATGAAGGAGAGAGAGGGAATGGAGAAACCATGCAGTTCACCAAGGCTTCAATGAGGACGAGGGACATGCCCGACGGTGAAAATTGAAGGAGGATGGGAGATGCTCGACTTACTAGTCCTTTGAAAGCTTTGCACGATCACTTTCTCTCTCCTCCACTCCTTACTGAACCATTTCTCTCCCTCTCTCGCGCTCGCAGACAATTCAAGGACACTTTTATAGAGTGAGAAAATAGACAAACAGATTATAGGACTAAATTAATAATTTAAGAATTTTCAATATAAGTAAAAATAATAAATTAAATATTTTATAATATTTAACATAATATTTTTAACAATGTTAAAAATGAGATTAAAATGTGAGTTTTAAAAATAAAAAAGAAGTATTTTTACTAAGAATCTTATATTCACATTTAATTTTCATTATGGATCCTACATGATTTTTTAAAATATAAAAATTTTATTATTTTTTACACCTTATCTAAAATTTTAACATTTGCAAATGTAGGTCCCCCACACACACACACAAATTTAAATTAATTACTAATGTAAATTTACTCATTAAATTAAATTATAGGTTTCACACCCACTTTTTTACCCCACACACACACAAAAATTTAAATTAATTGCTAATTTAAATTTACTAATTAAAATTAGTAGGTTTCATAGCCACTTTTTTACCATTAGTAATTTCTTTGTTTACCACCTATTATTTTTACTAAAAATCTTATATTGATGATCAATTTTTATTAATCAGATGCGATCTTTTAAAATATAAAAATCTTATTATTTTTTATTTTTTTATAAATTTTTAAAATTTATAAATGTAGGTCCCACACTCACAAATTTTAATACCATTAGTAATATTTTTGTATATCTAACACATATTATTTTTACTAAAATTTTTAGGTTCATCATCAATTTTTACTAATCCTACGATCTTTTAAAATATAAAAATATCATTATTTTTATATTTTATCTAAATTTTTAAAATTTATAAATGCAGGTTCCACACTCACAAATTTTAATGGTAGGTCCCACACCTACTTTTCTATTATGGATCCCATAATTATATTTTTTTAAAACAAAATCATTCATTAACTAAATTAAAAAAAGAGGTTAAGGTCTAAATTTACCATTGTACTTATTTTCAAGAAGCGCTACCCACCCTAAACTCTTAAGTGAGATAATTTTTTTCCTCAACTATTCTCTAGAGGAGCAAAATTGCCCTTCTATTAATCTACTATTTGTTCTTTTGTTTTGTGCTTATATGTCATGGTGGTGGGTCCATTGTCTTCTTACTTGGCACCTAATGTGTGACCTCTGCCCATGTTTGACCTTCTAACATGGCATCTTCTTCTTCATTCTTATTCCATCTCTAGTTCTAGCCTCCCTTACTCAATTTTATCTCCTCCTTCAGTGAATTTATTTTT